AAAAAGGACAGAAAGTGTTTATCTCCAGTCTGAAGTTTAAGTTACCATCAGGGAGTAAATTAGAAAGAATCAAACTAGAATGATGACATGCCATCTATGCCACTAACACCAGCCAAGAGGCTCAATCTCAGATTAAGAGTTTTAAGAGCATCCAAAATCCTAATCACAGTGACATGAGTGTAAACTTGTAACAAAATTATGATTCTACATATGTTGAAGCTTAATAAACAGAAAAAGAAAGAATATACAATCAAAAGAAAGAATATACAATCATAAAGGATTGGACTGCAATGTGTAAAATTAGAAATCAGAGGGACAAAATTCCAGCACTATTCAAAAAAAAAAAAAAAGACACCCTGATAATCAAATAAGAGTATTCCTTTTCTGTCAGCTACAGATCTATAATGAGGAAACATGAGTCAGATTAATATAGCTTCATGTCACTAGTCATCAGCCTCATTCACCTAAATCTATTTTTTATGCTTCCCTGATGAATATAATGAGGCTTCCACAGTGCAGTTAATGTCTCCCTCCAGCTAAGAACTCCAGAGCCTTGGAGACTCTCCAGTTCTCCTTGTCACTCACCATTTTAAACGCATCCATCCTCTCTATTAGATATCTGTACTCTCAATTGCGTTCCTTCAACCTAGGTTTCTTCCACTCCACCCAGCCCCTCCAGATTTTTACTTTAGTTGTCTCTTCATTTCAGCTTTATTCTGGGTGGTATTTTTCTGATTTCTTTTGTCTAAAATATCATTCGTTTCTGAATTACTCAAACTTGTACAATTTATTACTTAATAATGCCCGCTGATCTGAGTACCGTTTTCCAGAACTTGATAGACAGTATCTGTTGCTCCTTTATAAATATGTAGAATTATCTTTAGGGATGGCAGTTTTGTCTACCTTCAAATTATACTCACATGAGCAGTCCTAGATTGGATACAACCTATGGAAATATAATTTCAAGAATCCAAGAGTCTCCTAGCATCTATATTGGATCTCTAAATACCAATTTCCACTATAATGAACCAGTTTCCTTGGAGAAATCCATGATTCCAGGTTTTCTTGGATAGAAAAAGCACAAGAAAAGCATGGCTCTTGTCATAACAGAAAGCAAGGAAGTATTTAAAGGCTATTAAAGTTGTATCAAAAAGATGCAAGAGCCAAATTGAAGAGCCTACTAATGACCAAAGACGAGATAATGTGAGCATTCATTAGAATGATAACTGCAACATTTTAAAACACATTTAAAATGCAATTAAAATGCAATTAAAATTTAAAAACACATGTAAAACACAATTAAAATGCAACAGTTTTAAACATATCAACTATATTATTTTGAGTTTATAACAATACTTTTAAAATCTAGTGGTCTCTGGGTGCCAGGAAATAAAGGTTTTGAAAACTAGTTAAGTAAAGGAAAAGATGTCTTTCCTACATAAACTGTACTCAGGATAACCAAAGTGTTAAGGACAGTTTCATTTTTAGAATTATTTCAGCTAATAAATTAAGAAGAAATGAAAGAAATCTGCTTCCAGACATTATGATGTAAAAAGAATTTCACTTGTCTTTCTACCATAAGGAACTAAAGAACCAGACTAAATATACAGAAAAACAATTTTCAGATGCTGCACATCAGGTGGTAAAGAAATTGCAACGCAAGTGAAGATGCAGAAAAATGTGAACAATAATCAGAGAAACAATACTCAAAAAGTAACAGAGATAATGGAATTAACTAACAAAGATCTTAAACTAATTACTATAAATATCCATCATATGTTCCAGATGAGGAAAGCATGCATACAATGAGAACATAAATAAAAGACATAAAATATATGACTAAGGGAATCTTTAGAGATTAAAAAATCCCTAAAATGAAATTACACTGAAAGGAACTGATAGCATGTTATACATTGCAGAAGAAAAGATCAATAAACTTGAAAATATAGATACAAGAACTAGCCAAAATATAGAGTAAATAAAACAGACTGAAGAAAATGAACAAAACCAAAGTGAACTATAGGACAGTATCAGGCAAGCTAACATGTATGTAATTGGAGTACTAGAAGAAGAAGGGAGCTAAAAAATATATCTTTAAAAACAATGGCTAAAAATTTTCCAAAATTGATGAAAACTATATACCAGAAGGAAATTGTTTTCCATGTGTCTCTCATGTTACTAGACATCTTACAAGCAAAGGTACTCTCTTTTTTTGCCCTGAACTACCTTTTGAAATATGTTTGTACTGCAAATAACCTTAGAATGCAAAAATAGGGTCTAGCTCTGAAAAAGGGGTAGGTTTGCTTACAGTCTTAGAAGAGAAGGTGAGATAAGAGATATCCTTATTTTCCCATTTAGAGTAAAAGGAAGACATGCATACTGCCCTTTATAAAGATTCTGATTCCCTAAACTCAGGGTTCTTGTCCATAATACAGCTTAATTGAAGTTCAAATGTCACGTGGACCTCTTCACATAACCTTGTAGAAACTGAAGATGAGAGAAATGTTGATACTTTAGCTACTACTATTACTGTGAATAATTAAGAACTCCGTGAAACTCTAGTAAGCTAACATGTTAGCTTGGAAAGTAGGGTAAAATCTCAGGCCCTTCCCAGTTCTTAACATATATATCACAGACCCAAGCAGGTCAACCCATTCCAGGAAAAATAATCATAAATAAACCACACCAAAGAAGATCACACTGAAATTACTAAACATCAGTAATAAAGTGAAAATATATCATTTTAAAAGGCATATTCTATAGAGAGAAAGACTTTCAAACCTGGAAGAAATGGATAAATTCCTGGACGCTAACACCCTCCCAAGCCTAAACCAGAAAGAAGTCGAAACACTGAATAGACCAATAACAAGGGCTGAAGTTGAGGCAGCAATTAATAGCCTACCAACCAAAAAAAGCCCAGGTTCAGATGGGTTCACAGTTGAATTCTACCAGAAATACAAAGAGGAGCTGGTACCATTCCTTCTGAAACTATTCCAAACAATCCAAAAAGAAGGAATCTCTTTGTAGCGATTATGAATGGCAGTTCGTTCTTGATTTGGCTCTCTTTAAGTCTGTTATTGTTATATAGGTATGCTTGTGATTTTTGCACACTGACTTTGTATCCTGAGCCTTGGCTGAGAAGTTGCTTATCAGTTTCAGGATATTTGGGGCTGAGACGATGGGGTCTTCTAAACATACAATCATGTTGTCTGCAAATAGAGACAATTTGACTTCCTCCTTTCCTAATTGAATATGCTTTATTTCTTTTTCTTGCCTGATTGCTCTGGCTAGAGCTTCCAATACTACATTGAATAGGAATGGTGAGAGAGGGCATCCTTGTCTAGGGCCAGATTTCAAAGGGAACACTTCTGGTTTTTGCCCATTCAGTATGATATTGGCTGAGGGTTTGTCATAAATAGCTTTTATTATTTTGAGATACATTCTGTCGATACCTAGTTTATTGAGAGTTTTTAGCATAAAGGGCTGTTGAATTTTGTCAAAAGCCTTCTCTGCATCAATTGAGATAATCATGTGGTTTTTGTCTTTGGTTCTGTTTATGTGGTGAATTACATTTATAGACTTGCATATGTTGAACCGGCCTTGCATCCCTGGGATGAAGCCTACTTGATTGTGATGGATAAGCTTTTTGATGTGTTGTTGCAATCGGTTTGCCAGTATTTTATTGAAGATTTTTATATCTATGTTCATCTAGGATATTGGCCTGAAGTTTTCTTTTCTTGTTGAGTCTCTGCTGGGTTTTGGTATCAGGACGATGTTGGTCTCATAAAATGATTTGGGAAGAATTCCCTCTTTTTGGATTGTTTGGAATAGTTTCAGAAGGAATGGTACCAGCTCCTCTTTGTATGTCTGGTAGAATTCGGCTGTGAACCCATCTAGATCTGGGCTTTTTTTGGTGGGTACACTATTAATTGCTGCCTCAACTTCAGCACTTGTTATTAGTCTATTCAGGGTTTCAACTTCTTTCTGGTTTATGCTTGGGAGGGTGCAAGTGTTCAGGAATTTATCCATTTCTTCCAGGTTTACTGGTTTACGTGCATGGAGTTGTTTGTAGTAATCTCTGATGGTAGTTTGTATTTCTGTGGAATCTGTGGTGATATCCCCTTTATCATTTTTTATTGCATCAATTTGATTCTTCTCCCTTTTCTTAGTATTCTGGGTAGCGGTCTGTATATTTTGTTGATCTTTTCAAAAAACCAGCTCCTGGATTTATTGATTTTTTTGAAGGGTTTTTTTGTGTCTTTATCTCCTTCAGTTCTGCTCTGATCTTAGTTATTTCTTGCCTTCTGCTAGCTTTTGAGTTTTTTGGATCTTGCTCCTCTAGCTCTTTCAATTTTGAAAATAGGGTGTCGATTTTAGATCTTGCTTCTCATGTGCCCACCATCTATTGCTATATATTTTCCTTTAGACACTGCTTTAAATGTGTCAACTAACAAAGAATGTAAAGGATTTCTTAAAGCAGAACTACAAACTACTGCTCAACAAAGTAAGAGAGGACACAAACAGATGGAGAAACACTCCATGCTCATGGTTAGGAAGAATCAATATTGTGAAAATGGCCACATTGCCCAAAGTAATTTACAGATTCAATGCTATCCCCATCAAGCTCCCTATGACTCGCTTCACAGCACTGGAAAAAACCACCTTAAACTTCATGTGGAACCAAAAGAGAGCCCGCATAGCCAAATCAATTCTAAGCAAAAAGAACACAGCTGGAGGAATCATGCTGCCTGACTTCAAACTATGCTACAAGGCTACAGTAATCAAAACAGCATGGTACTGGTACCAAAACAGGGATATAGACCAATGGAACAGAACAGAGGCCTCGAAGGCAACTTTTTTTTTTTCTTGCACATCAAAGACATTTGTTATTGCAGTCAGGAAACAATGCCATAAAATGCTAACAAAAAAAAGTTATACTGTTTTCCTTAAAGTCAGTAAATTACATAAAAGTACTCTGAGCATTTCTGGAAGAAAGACAAATCCAAAGTCTTATTGCTAGAAGGATCATACACGGTCACAGACTATGGTACTCTGCTCAGCCAGGAGACTAGGTCTCAGCAAGTCAGTTACTGACCTTGAGGCTTAAAAAGCAAGGAGGGAAAATGTCAATAAAACAGAGCCCTATATCACAGATTAAACCTGAGTGAAAATAATTTCCAGCTTTATGTCAAAGTGGAAGCTGGTTCCTAGGATGCTGGGGCTATCTTAGATGGGTACTCTGTTTTCCTTGGCCCATTTCTTCATAATCCGGATGATGTACTCTACTTGGGTGTTACCTGTGCTTCTCAGTAAATGGACCACTTCTCGAAGGGTCTCTTTGGGTTCTCTCCCAGCTAAGATCATCTGGAAAATGCCCACACAGGCACCCCTTTTGCCTTCCCAATATTGAGGGTTGGGATCCAGCCTCTCGAGGACGTCAAAAGCTTTGGCAGAATAGTAAAACTGGCCCATCTTGTAGCAGTCATTAGCAATGAGCTGTAAGAGACTAAAGGACTCGCCAGAGGTTTCCATCTTGAGATAAAGTTCCCAGGCTAGTCTTGGTTTCTTATTCATAATATAGCACCGAGCTAACCAGCTGAGGTAAATGTAATCATTTTTCATCTTCTCACTTGGATCAAGAGGAACACCTCTTCAGCCTCACTGGTATTGCCTGTTGCAGCTTTGGCTTGGGCATAATTAAAGTTAAAGATATCATCATCATAGCAGTAACTCTTAAATGAGTTGAGGTAAATCAAGACATCATCAAATTGCTTAAGCAGGAAGAAACAGGAAGCCATGCACTGCCTTCCTGGTATTATATCACATTCGCTAGCTGATCCTCCCACCAACTGGAAGAACTGCTGGGCAATTTTCACATGATCCCTTGAACCTGTCTCCTGGCCAAGGGCTGCATTGACCACTCCTTTGAGAATATACTCCTGAGGAGTAGTAGGTTCCAGATCCTTAAGTTATAAGCTTCTTGTACATCATCTTGACGAAGGTAGTAAATCACCGAGTTTAGCCTAGCTTCAGGAATGACATCAACCAGGGGAGGTAAAGCCTGCAAAGCCCCTTCACCTCCTCAGAAAACAACCAGATTGTGCCTGATGAGTTCTTTAGCAAATTCGAAGGATGAAGAAGCATTGTCCATCAAGCTTTTGAGTTCTGCCTCAGCTGCTTTGCCGTTGTAAAGGCGAAAATGATTACAGGCTTTAAGATTGAGTGCGATGGTACTATCAGGAATTTGCTGAAGGTAAACAGCCAAAACTTCTTGAGACACATCATAGTAATCCAATTTATAGTAGCAGAGGGCCACATAAACATTGAGGGCAAGGTATTCCCTGTTATCTAGCAGTATTCGCTTATATATATCAACAGCTTCTCGGTAGTGAGATCGCATATAGTGGATTGAGGCCAAACTGAGTTGATCTTCTGTGACATCCTGAAGATTCTGATGAAAGCTCATCAACTTTTTCTCATTATTAAACTTGTGAGCCAAGTGGAAGAGGAGGCGGTTTTGGAGTCGGCTTTTCGAAGCTTTAAATCCAGCTGCTTCGGCTTGTTTACACATCCCAAGAAAGAAGTAGGTGCAAGCTAGGTTCACCCAGACTTCAGAATTACAATTTTCCTCTTCTGTAGCATTTTCATATTCCTCCAGAGCTCTCTTGTAGTCACCCAGGTGAAAGGCACAATATCCAATCCACAAATTAGTATCCTCTTCTTGTTCCCCAACATGACGTTTGAACTCCAACAGGGTAATAGCTCCAGTGAAATCTCTTTGTGAAAGGAGCTCCTCTAGTTTTGGAATCTTCCTACCTTTCTTCTTTCTTTTGTCAGTGTGCTGGACGTCCCCGCCTACAGCAGGTTTGGCCCTTGAAAGCATCATCTGGAGAAACAGCTGCTCCATGTCCCATATAGCCTGGAGTATATTCAGTTTGTTCCTCTGCTCAACCTGAAGCCCTTTGCCCAGGTGCTCCAGCTCTCCGTACTCTTCCTGAGGACTTTCCAGTTTCTCTGTAGCCAGAGTTGTCAAAATTGGCTTCCTCTGGAAGGCTGGAACCACATGGTGAGACTCCTGTGTGGCAGTCTGACCAGCCTCCTGGACTCAGTCAGGTTGATATAGTCAGTTGGCTCTTGGACGCAAGGACAAGAGCAGGACCTGACCCAGGAAGCCCTGTTTGTCTACACCCAGGTGTTCTGTCACACTCTGCACATCATGGCCATGCTCCACCAGGAGGTCAGTGAGCCACTGCATGTTTTAGCCTTGGAAACTCTCACCTGCTATAAGACTCTGAGCAAGGCCAACCCTTCTGTCACCTCCTTGCTTCAGAAGGTGAACGAGCAGCGCTTTCTCAAGTTCATTGCTGAGAACATCAGCCCCGAGGGGCAGCGCTAGGCCGTGCTGCAGAAGATCAGCAGCTTCTGACCTTGGCCTGTAGCAGAAAAGCTGGGGCTCAACATGGTGGGTCCATAGGGGCCAGACCCATGCAGCACGGACTTTACAGCTGCGTGAAGCTGTCCACAGGAACATGGCAATAATGGTGTAAAGAAAATAGTTTCTTAGGTATTTATAATGTACAAACTATAATAAACATTCCCTTTTGCATCTCAAAAAAAAAAAAAAAAAAAAACTACAACCATCTGATCTTTGACAAACCTGACAAAAACAAGCAATGGGGAAAGGAGTTCCTGTTTAATGAATGGTGTTGGGAAAACTGGCTAGCCATGTGCGGAAAGCAGAAACTGGACCCCTTCCTGACACCTTACACTAAAATTAACTTCAGATGGATTAAAGACTTAAACATAAGATCTGACACCATAAAAATCCCTAGAAGAAAGCCTAGGCAAAACCATTCAGGACGTAGGCATAGGCAAGGACTTCATGACTAAAACACCAAAAGCATTGGCCACAAAAGCCAAAATAGACAAATGGGATCTAATTTAACTCCAGAGCTTCTGCACAGCAAAAGAAACAATCATTACAGTGAACCCGCAACCAACAGAATGGGAAAAAGTTTTTGCAATCTACCCATCTGACAAAGGACTTATATCCAAAATCTACAAAGAACTAAAACAGATTTACAAGAAGAAAACAAACAAAACCATTCAAAAGTGGGAAAAGGATATGAACAGACACTTTTCAAAAGAAGACATATAGGAGGCCAACATATTAAAAAATGCTCATCATCACTGGTAATTAGAGAAATGTAAATCAAAACTACATTGAGATACTATCTCACACCAGTTAGAATGGAGATCATTAAAAAGTCTGGAGACAACAGATGCTGGAGAGGATGTGGAGAAATAGGAACACTTTTACACTGTCTTCAACCATTGTGGAAGACAGTGTGGTGATTCCTCAAGGACCTAGAAATAGAAATTCCATTTGACCCAGCAATCCCATTAGTGGGCATACATCCAAAGGATTATAAATCGTTCTAATATAAGGACACATGCACACATGTCATTGCAGCACTGTTTACAATAGCAAAGACTTGAAACCAACCCAAATGCCCATCGATGATAGACTGGACAGGGAAAATGTGGCACATATACACCATGGAACACTATGCAGCCACAAAACACGATGAGTTCGTATCCTTTGTAGGGACGTGGATGAACCTGGAAACCATCACTCTCAGCAACTCACACAAGAACAGAAAATCAAACACCACATGTTCTCACTCATAGGCGGGTGTTGAACAATGAGAACACATGGACACAGAGAGGAGAGCATCACACACTGAGGTGTGTGGTGGGGACTAGGGGCGGAACAGTGGTAGGTAGGGAGTTGGGGAGGGATGACATGGGGAGAAATGCCAGATATAGGTGATGGGGATGGAGGCAGCAAACCACACTGCCATGCATATACCTATGCAACAATACTGCATGTTCTTCACATGTACCCCAGAACCTAAAATGCAATAAAATATATACATATATTTTAAAAGAAGAAATAAGAGAAAGGCTCAATAAGAAGTCTTTCTAATACTTCCAATAACAGACTTTATACACCAGAAGACAATAAAATATCATTAAAGTGCCCAAAAGAAAAAGTTTAAAAACTATCAACCTAGAAATATATATTCAAAGAAAAATATTTTAGAAAAAAAAGGAAAAATAAAGACATTTTATTTCCAGAACACAAAAATTGATGAACTTCCTTGCCAGAGGACATGGACTATAAGCAATGTCAAAAGAAGTTTGTTAGGCTAAAGGAGAAGAATACTATTGAGAAATTTAGATCTACAGAAAGGAGTGAAGAACATCTGAAATAAGTATGTGGGAATATATAGACATATATTTCTCATTTTTAATCATGTTGAAAGATTACTGACTGTTACAAACCAAAATAATAGCAATGTGAAGTTTCTAACATATGTAGATGTGAGATGTATAACAATAGCACAGGAAATAGGAAGAACTAAAAGAAAGTATACTGTTATAAGGTTCTTTATATGAAGTGGCATAACAATTTTTGAAGGTTGACTGCACTGAGATAAAGATTCACATTGTACACCCTAGAGTAACCATGAGAAAAATAAAACAAAGAGTCATGACTATAAGGCAATTATAAAGAAAAAGTCATCAAAAATATTCAAATCAAAAAAAAAGCAAAAAAAGTATTGAAATCAAATGAGGGCAGGAAAAGAGGAAAAAAGAACAACAGGTGGAACAAATTTTTTCAAAAACAATTATAAATTGGTAGATTTAGACGCATCATATTAACCACTGAATTAAATTTAAATGGCCTAAATACTCATATTAAAGGCAGAGATTGCCAAATTGGATAAAAATTGTATTTATGTCTTTAAGTATAAAGACATAAATATGTTAAATATAAAGACATAATAGGTTAAGACAAAACTATAAAAAAAAAATACCAGGAAAACAGTGATGTGATTACATCAATATCAGATAAAGTAGATTTAACACAATAAATATTTCTAGGGATAAAAAGAAGCATTATTTTTTTCAAGTGGTCAATCCATCAAGAAGATACAATGAATATAAATGTTTATGCAACTAACACCAGGGCTTCAAAATATATAAAACTAAAAGGAAAAACCCATAAAGTTGAAGATTTCCATACTCTATACTATCAGTAATAAATGGAACACATAAAATAAAAATTTGTAAGATTTGAACAACATAATCAACTTGACTAAATTGACAATTTAGATCACATTACTCAATAACAATAAACATTTTGTCAAGTATAAATGGAATATTCACCAATATAAACTGTATTTTCTGCTGTAAAAGAAACATGAATAAATTTGAAAAGATTATTAAATTTATTTTCTCATCAAAATGTTTCATTTTTAGAAATGGGGTATTGCTGTGTTGCCTAGGCTATCTCAAAATTCCTGCCTTCAAGAAATTTTCCTACTTCATCATCAGAGTAGCTGAGATTGTAGACACAAGCGACTGTACCTAACAATGAAATTAAACTAGAAATTAATTAAAGGGCAATATCTAGAACATCACCAAGTATTTAAAAATTTACAAATACATTACTAATTAACTAATGGGTCAATGAAGGAAAAAAAATCAAAGGAAATTACAATGCATTTTGGATTGAATGAAAATGAAAACACAACATATTTCTAATTCATAGTAGTAAGTGCTTAGAGGAAAATGTATGGCAGCGAATGCATATATTAGAGGAGAAATAAAGGCCTCAAATCAATAATCTAAACTTCCACATAAAAAAAGAAGTACAAATTAAATAAAATTAAGCAGAATGAAAGGAAGGGAACACAGCAGGAATCAAATACAAAACAAGAAACAGCAAAAAAATGATATCAAAAGTCAATTTCATTAAAAAGATGAATAAATTTGATAAATCTCTAGTACATCAAGTGAGGGGAAAAAGAGAATACATGAATTGTCAGTATCAAGAATGAGAGAGGAACATTATTACAAATCCTACATTCAAATGATAATATATTCTTTTCAAAAACAATGGTAAATTCAATAATTTAGATGAAATAACTAGTAATTTGATAAAAATGACCAAACTGATATTAAAAGAAATAGACAATTCTAGTAACCATATATCCATTAGAGGAAATTATTTTGTAATTTAAAGTATTCCAACAAATAATCTTCAGGACCAGATGGCCTCGCTGGTGAACTCTACCAAACACTTAAGGGAAAAAAAACCATTTCTGCACAAACACATATAGAAAAAGAAAGAGAGAATACTTCCAACTCATTTAATGAGACCAGAATTTTTCTGATGCCAAAATCAGATAAAAATATTACACAAAAGAAAAATTACAGGCCAATATCCCTCATAAACTTAAATGTTAATATTCTTACTTTCCTTCCTTCCTTCTTTTTTCCATCTATATAGCTATCTAAGTGATAAAAGGAGAAAAATGCCTGGTATCAACCTTTATTCTCTACTATGAATTTATCTATAAAGATAGGGTTTTGGGTGATAGAAGCACAGGATATTACTGGATGACTAGACTGGGTCAGGAAATAGGGAGGCAGAGGCCAGCAGTTTTGCCAAAATTCAAAATTTTGTTGCTTTTAGAAGAGGAAGTGGGAGATTCCTAGAAGTCAACTTTATGTTTCACAGATACAGAAGTCAACTAGGATTTTTTAAATAGTTGGGTTTTTCTTGTGACTTCTAACCCTGAGGCTGGTTCCAGTTGCTCAAGACCTTAAGGATTAGGTGCAAAAGCCAGCCATAGAAATCTCCAGGATTCAGAAAACATGATTCTGAGCTGGGTGCTGGGGATACACAGACTGCAACCAAATTCTTGTCTTGAGGAGCACGTAATACAGCAGGAGGCTTCAAGGCCCTGCAAGGTTGTTTAAAGGCACAGTTATGGAGAAAAGACTCAAGGTTGCTACTTCCAGCTAGTGGGG